CTTTGCTCTGAAGACGAACCCCTCCCCTGACCCCTCCACAAGGGGAAGCAGAGAATGCGGGGACCCAGCAAAGGGAGGAATGTACGGGGCTCTGCAAACAGGACCCGCACAGCGTCTAGGAGACAGCCAACAGGTGTGCGCACCTCATGCCCCTCCCCAGCGCATCCGTAATCCCTCTTAGCAGCAGAAGCCCTCCTTTCCCTAGGGCTCTTTACCCAGAGTGAGAGATCACAGTTCCTCCGGTCTCTGCAGTCCCCCATGCCGGGAGAGTGGAGGCCAGGGCCCTGCCACCGAGGACTCTGCCAGGTTCTCTCCAACCTCCTCCCTCCCCTGGACGTCAGATTCAGCAGGTCCGGGGGGCCCAGGGAGTGGCCTTCATCTTCACTCCCAGGAGCTCTCACCAATGGGCAGGGGTGCGGTGGCCCTGGGATGCCAGCAGGCAGGACACCAGCCAGGCCCACTGGGAGGCCGGGCCCAGGCCTGTTCCCCACAGCTCCAAGCCCACGTCTTGGTTCGAGCCCAGGACTCCGCATTTCCACAAGCCCCTCCGCTGCTGAGACGCAGTGTTCTGAGGACCGGGTGGGTGTGCTGGGGCGCGTGCAGAGAGGACAGGGTGGCCTGTGGGGGGGCCTGAGAGCCTGCACCTTCGACGAGCTCCCGTGGGAGGCTGGCGCTGCTGGGAGACTGCCCAGGCTGGGGACCCTCCTTGAAACCCCTGCACTGTACGGCGGTGGCCTCCCTCTCAGCATACCCTTACTGCTTCGCTCGGAGAAGTCTGATCGACCAATGCTCTCTACTGGGCTCACGTCAGCCACTGCAGGGTTTCAGAAACTGTTCTTGGAAAGGCAGCTGCCCGACCGCGTTACGTACTGTGCAAGAGGGTGCCTGGGGCAGGTAGACTCGGGGACACGACACACGCCAGGCACGCATCTGGGTGGGCACGCTGGCTCTGCTGCGGCTCCTCTCTGCCCTCCGTGCAGTGGGGACAGTCGGAAAACCGTCTGACGGAGTCGGGGGCAACCCAGGAGCTAATCTGCACGAGCTCCTCTGTCTGTTCCTGGCACAGCCTGCCCCTGGAAGAAGCTGGCCACTGCCAGGGTATCCCTGCCACCACGCTCCCAGCGGTTGGGCCTCAGGGGCAGGCGTCCACCCAGCGTGCGGCTCTCGGGGCTCAGCGCGACTCGGCTACATCCAGGTCAGCACTTGAGGTTCTCAGAGCTCACCCTGAGCGATGCTGGGGTGCACAGGCCTCCCTAGGGACCGGCGTGTATAAATGACGCTCGGGCCTCTGGAGGCACAGGCGTGGTCCCAGCGCCAGACGACTCGAGGCAGAGGACCAGAGACAGCCAGAAGAGCTGTCTTGGGCAGCCCTGACGCCCCTTGATGGAGGAGGAAGCAGAGGGGCATTTTCACCTCGTGGGAGATGGCTGAGGGACGTGACCCTCCCCAGCGAGGTCTTTGGTCAGGCCCATCTGTGAACCTCACTGACCTCGCGGGATGAGCTCGGAGCGAGGAAGACATGACAAATGGCACATTCGGCCACACAGGTTGGTGACCTCTTCTCTCACCAGGCTGGGGCGGGGACAAGACGTAGGCGAGGACACGTGGGAGGCTGGCATGGAGGGTCCCGCTGACCTGCCCACAGGCACAGCCTGAGAAACCAAACCTCATCCGCTGCTCGTGGGTGGCGCGCTCAGTAGTGGGGAGCCCCAGCACCGACCAGCAGGTACCTGCCCAGGGGAGGCGCCTGTCAGCGGCTTGACCCTGGAGCCCAGCGGCCCTCTATCCTCTCCCCTCTCTGCTGAGATCTGTGTCTTTTTCTATAAATTTGCTGTAGAGCATGTGTGCTTGCTGGAGAGAGACAGAGAGACACAGAGAGAAAGTAAGAAAGCCCCCGCAGGGAGAAGACCACACTGCAATCCATCCTTTCCCAGTCTCCTCTCAGGATTTTGGGCACGCGTGCATGTGTTTTTCAGACTGCCGGGTCCAGGACTCCAGCCACCCAGTCGGCCATTTCACCACCATACCTCCTCGCCGGCCTGGAGTGTGTTTCTTAAACCAGAACTAACGGACGCTGGACACTGAGACCCTCCAAACCAAGACAAAGAACACCGGAAATATCTGAGAAAACCAAACCACTTTTCTTCAGGTCCCCAAGACGAAAGGAGAACTGGAGGAGCATTTACTCACTTTCCAACTGGTCCCACTTCTCACTCCTTGATCCCTTAAAGTGTCCCCGCGCTCCTGCGGGCAGTTCCCCAGCTGCTCTGGCTGGAATGGTCTTTTCCTGTCCCTGCCATTGTTCCTCTGTTCCGCAGGCCCGTGTTCTGATGGACACACAAGCAGGAATCAATCCGCTGCTGCAGCCCTTGGAGCGCAGCATGACCCAGGTCCAGACATGGCTTCTCAAGGAGCAGGAGGGTCCCTGCGCCAGGGCCGAGGGTCGAACTGCTTCCTGCTAGTTCCCAGGACGGTGACCTAGCTCCTCAAGGGAGGGGTAGGCCTGGGTTGGGGGTTGGAAAGAAGACATCTGAAAAACAAAGGACAAAATGACATGTCCATTCCACAGCAGGCCCAGGGCGGGAAGTTGCGCAGGGACCCTAGCGGTGCCCCATCCAGAAGAGGTGCCCCATCCAGAAGAGGTGCCCAGGGCTTGCCCCTCGCCCCCCACTCCCTGCCGCATCTTCCCCTGGAGACAGTGTCCTTGGCTTCTTCTGCTGTAACCGGGCTCCAGGAGCCTTGCAGGTCGGGCCAGGCAGAGAAGCAGAAGGCTGCGAGGCGGGGCGGGGGCGCGGGCGGCGCGCGGCGCCTTTAAGGCCCGCGTCAGG